TGGGGCCTCCACCCATAGCACAGGATGTGGGCTCAATCCTGCTGCTGGCTGGACTTGGGGACATGGAACTGCAAGAGGTTTGCATCTGACAGGTTGGGACAGCAGGAGTTCCCCCAAAAGGAAAGCCAAAAGTTGGCTACCTTCCGGCATACTCCCCAGAAAAAGAAAGGAAAATTGGGGTGGGGGTAGAGTTTGTTTGTTTTGTGCGGGGTTTTTTTAATTGTTGTGTTTTTTGTTTTTTTTTTTGCGTAATTTTTTTTTTCTCCCAAGTCAAAGATTCTTGCTCTTTTCTTCTCATTTCTTTAATCAAAGCATTAGCAAAAAGTCAATGCTTCTAGGACAAGTTTACCAATTCTGCTTCTGATTACTGACTTCTTTTTTTTTTGTGAGAAACCTGTTCATAGTTAGTGTCTTGAGAAAGAAATAACCCCTGATGTGGATAATGAAATTCAGATTTTGGATATAAAAACTTCAGAATAACTGCACCTGACTTTTAGTTGCCTTGTCAAAGGACCCATGAATCCTTTCATGTTGGTTGACATGAATCTTTTATTCCATTAGAGCTAGATTACAGTCCCCAAAGGCTCAGCGATTTAGCTATATGAAAACTTGACATAATTTACTCTTCCATTTTAGAAGTGTTGCTTCACATTATATTTAATATTCAATCTACAAATAAGAATTGAATGTTAAATAATAATTGGCAGCAGGTTAATGCAGAAAAGAGGGCTTCCAGAAAAGCAAATGTGTTTTTAGTTCCCATGGCACCACTCCCAATATTTGTTTTATACTCCTGAGAGAAAAGAGGAAAGCAGAACAAATGTTAAAACTCCCACACAAAATTCTCAAAGTAATATTATTATTCCCCCTAAGACTCTAGTCTTGCTGTCAGATTGCTTTTTCTGTCAAGTTTCCAAATTCTTTTATTGAGAAAAGATAATAATTATAATAATACAAAGTTTAAGTTAGTTTTACTAACATTTTACTAAAATAGGTTAGCTGCAAACTCTCATTGAAAGAACTTGTGGAGTCATTTATCTAATTTGCACAGTATGATTACCACAATGAGAGAGGCTCATATAGACATGCTTGTGTAAATGCATTTTTTCCCTAATCATCACCTTCATGGGAAAATTCCTGGTTTGTATCAGTGATCTCACTAATTATTCATACAAATCATTTTGTTTTTCAAAGAAATATTCACTTGTAAGGATTTTTTGTTCTGCCCCTTCCAATGATGTTGTATAACTTCTGATGTGTTCCCATATCCTTTTGCTTTTCAGTCCTGCTGATTATGCTTTGCATAATTCCTTGGGCTGAGCAAGAACCTTCCTAGAATGCTCAATAAATTGTTTGTTTGACTGATTTTTTTAAGATTTCAGTTCAGTCAAGTTTATACCTTTGAGGAGGGGAAATGCTTTCAGAGTTCTCTTTGTGATATTTTATTTGTAAATATGTTTTTGATACTACAGACCTTGGTATTCTCAGAAATTAATTTTTAATTTGGCACCTAAGTGGTTGTACCACAGATGCTTGAACACTGAAATAAGGCCATACAACTTATCTGGAATTGTCAGTAGGGATATATAGTGAGGTAATTCAAGAAACAGAAAGCAACAAAAGCAACACAAGTAAGCCAATAGTTGGAAAGACACCTTAGCTTCTGTGTGCACACATAACAATTCTGTTGTCATTTAGTTAGATTCCATTAGAAACTCCAGACTTCCCTAGACTAGGTGGAAGAGAAGCATGCAGAGCAGTTCAGATGAGATGCTTTACAGCAGATGTGTTAAGTAGATGAAACAGCTGCTTAAACAAAATCTACTATAAGAAAACTCTTTTAGACAGTCACAGTCTTTGGACCAATGCCCTTCAAAAACCTAACTTTGGCAGCCAATGTTAAGCAGATAAATAGTCTCCTGCAGCCCTGAGCAACTTAAGCAAAGGACTATGCTTAAGTACTCCAGATAAATGCTTTTCTGAATTTGAATCTGTCAAAGTTTTTGCAGTGTTCCCAAATCATCAACCCTTTACTACTTTAAAGCTGCTTGCCAAAACTCTATAACCCATTGATAATATTTCACCAGATCTGGTTGCCTCTAACAGTACCTTATAAATACCCTATAGACAGCTCTTTGCAGTCTGAGGAAGATAAATTCACATGCTCTAGCTGAATAGAATACGTCAGCTGAAGGATAAACTAGTATATACTAACATCTTCGTTAGCGCAGGTGAGTTACAGAATAGACAGGGTTTAAATACGAGATTATTAAAAAAAACCCAAACCAAACCAACAATCTCCCCCCCCAAAAAAAAACCCAAATAAAACGACCCAAACCCCAGCTTTACATGAATAAAATATATTTATGAAAATAATTGCTAGAGTTGCAAACAGTCACAAAAAGTTAGGCGATCTTACCTAAAGTTAAGCATCTTACTAAACAGCTAAATATTTGAGTCCAGTTTCAAAGTCCGTTTTACATTTCATTACACTAGAAGAGCTGACAGGATAATCTTACAGCCATCACATCTAGGGCCTGCTTTCTTAGACAAATTTGGTCCCTAGACAGCTTTTTTCTATTGGGAAAGATCAGCAGGGACATTGCTCCCTGTTTGGTGCACTTCTACTTACGGTAGGTCCCAGCAATTCTATTTGTGTACTAAGTGTGTTGAAAATATTAACCTTTAGAATGAGTTTAATTAAAATGTTTCAGGATTAGGAGTTCTAACATCAGTGCCTTCCCTGAGAGCAAAATGATTTTTGATTGCTTCACACCTGGATTGCTTGGGAGGCTGAGAACCAGCCGAGTGTTATTCCTAGATTATCAACCGAAGTAAGGCAACTGCCCTACTTAATGATTAATGATTATCTCAGATTAATTTGATGATCATTCTCTTTAGTAGCAAAAATCCTTAAAGATATTTCTTAACTTCTTCCACAGGGTTGTATTTGGAATTCCAGAGCAAACTACAATTATTCCTACAGTTCTAATGATTATGGCTTATTTCTGTGCATAACAAAAGAAATCTGGGGGAAAGAAAAGTTCCTTGGAAAACAGCATCTCCCTAGTCTAGCTTTCTGCATATTGCCAAGTACAATACCAAACCTCTGCTGATTTCCAAAAACTTGCTCTAAAATTATCATATTCTCAGTGTATGGCCTTGACTCTTCTACCCTGGGTTCTCATCCCTTTCTGAACTGAAAATTATGAAGTGCAACACTGCACTGACAGCAAGCCATGAAAGTAGGATCATTTTGAAATTAATTGAATATTTCCGCAGGTCAAAAGTTAAATAACTATCTGAAACTTTGAAGATGCATTTTAGAAAAATCACTGTCTTTGCATTAATTTCCAGCAAATAAAGCAAGTAATAAAAACCTTCCCTTTTCAATCTCTGTACCCAAATTTTGAAAATCACATCATAGATGTGGATTAGAAATGAACAATCTTTGCTGCTTGGAACATTTGTCACAGAAATATCTCATAAAATAAGCTATGCTCAGCTTCACAGAGGTTCTATACTTGCTTTTTGCAAGAAAAACAAAAGCTTTTACTTTTCTATTTCAGGATTACTTAACTGTTCTAAAATTCCACACTTTAATGTGCTTATGCTGAAAATCTTTGCATTCAACTGGTTTAACATTTCATCATCTAGGGTTATAGTGACCTAGATCCCAGATATTTTTCTAAACCCACCACCCAGTGGATGAAATGGTTAAAGCACACTGCAAAATAACTTTTGCTGTAGGACAGAGAACTCTCTGCTTTTCATCTTTGCATCAACAGGTTCCTTGTATGTGGCAATACATTTTAAATCCCAGAATTTTTCTATTAGGCTAAGTAGAGAAGTTCTATGGTGTTACATTACATCACAGCTAACATTACACCTTGAAGAGGGATTTTCACTGCAGCAAAGTCTTGTTTATTAGGGTTTTGGAAACTTTCAATCAGCATTCCCGTTTTCACATGACTTGCTGAATCTTAAGGATTCATTCTTGCCATCTAGTGGCTTTGAGGAGAATTAAAACAAATCTGTTAACAACAGATTAGAAAGTTATTGTTTGTGATAAAAGATGGTAGGAGACATGCATTGGATATCATCAACTTAAATCTCATCATTTTATCTTCATTTAAGAAAAACTTTTCTGGAAACTCCCTTAAAATTCATAGAATCATAAAATGGGTTGGGTTGGAAGGGACCTTAAGATCATCTAATTCCAACTTCCACCACTACCATGGCAGGGATTCTACCCACTAGACCAGATTCCTCAGTGCCCCATCCAGTCTGGCCTAGAACAATTCCAGGAATGGACAACCTGTTCCAGTGCCTCACCACTCTCACAGTAAAGCATTTATCCCTAATACCTAAGCTAAACCTACCCTCTTTCAGTTTAAAATTGTTCCCCCTTGTCCTATCACAATATGCCCTTGTAAAAAGTCCCCCTCCCTCTTTTTCATAAAACAACACCAAACCAAACTTCATGCATTTTAAAGAACCTTTCTTACACACTGTAATTACACTTCATGGAGAAAATACAGTCCACTCTGGTTCACATTCTTGCAACAACACAAAATTCCCCTAGTACTACAAAATACAATTAAGTACTCTTTATTTAATTTTTTTAATCTGATGTAACTTAAAAAAAAAGTAATAATTGAAATTAAATTTCAAGATAAAGGGATGTCAGTATAAAAAGTCTAGTCTATCACTGAGCACTTTGAATTTGCCCCAGTTTCATCCTCATTATTTCAAAAGCAATAACAAATACTGCATTTATAGCAGAAGTATCAGATCCAAAGAGGGAATTTCTATTGCTATTAAAAATATAAAAGAAACCAGAAATTTAAAACCTGATGCATGGGTAGAAAATTAGTGATTAAGAAGCAAGGAACAGAAGTCTGCCCACTTTTAGTAACTGCAAAAGATGGAAACTGACTTGAAGCAAAACCTTTTTACAATCTTCTTATTGACATTTGAAATAAAGCTTCAAAAAAGAGGCTGTAAACTTTCTTAATTGTTTATTAATGGATATTTTTAAAAACTAGAAGAGGCATTCCAGGTTTTTTAAGGTGCTGACAATTTATTTTACAGATGCATAAAAGTTGCACAATTTGTATGAAAAATATAACAATAGTCAACTACAAAACAGTGGAGTATCACACACAGTCTTCAAGATTCTTTCTTTCTTCAAATTGTTTGTCTACTGCAAGTGAAAGAGCCTGAAGAAATGTTGTCATTGTAACACTGGGGGACTGAAAATAAGAGAACATTTTGTTAGACACACTACAGCAATAGGCAGACATAATATTTTACATAAAAATCACAGTATCAGTAAGAGAAATATTTGACTTCCATGTTACAAAATTTTCAAAATGCTACAAAACAAACTGCAAGTTTATTTTAAACAAGATAGCATGGCAAAGTCAAAGTCAAGCTATTGAAGGTCTTGAGTCAATTACTACTACTGTAGATTTGCTTAAAAAAAGGCTTTTAACAAATTAATAATATTTATAAAGTGGCAGAGGGTTTTTTCAGCAAGGAATTATCAGAGAATCAATATCAATATTCATTAATTTAATTAAAAGTAGAATGCTGCTTGACAGGTCAATCCCACATCACTTCTTCAATCCCATTTTAGATTATGGCCAGCACATAACTGTTGCAGTCTACAAAGCTGCAGAAACAAGTGAAATTTAGATCAAAAGGGGGGTTAACTTCAGGCAGTGTCCCAATGTCTTCCTGCCTGTCTCAAACCCAAACTAAATTATAATGAATAGAATAAACTCACTTGAATATAATACACTTACTTGAATATAAAGTGCATGTGCTAGGAAAGGAAGCTTTCTCAGGACTCGGCCACCAAGACCTTCACTTCTTCTACAGTAAAACAGACACAAGTGCTGCTTAAATGCTAAATGTTCACTCTTAGAAGACCTTTCCTTTTTCTTGTCTCTCCACTAAATTGCTCTAAAAAAACCTCAGATCACAATTCAGCAGGTCACTTGCAGCTCTTTTAGCAGGAGCAGGAAGAGAACAGACAAATTCTGTTTATGGGAGGCTATAGAGTATAATACAAAAACGGAAGCGAGGGAACAGAAACAGCATAGTCACAGTTGCCTGCCAATGCTTACATCATGCCCTTCATATCACTGTGCCATATCTCATGAGTTTGGGGGAATGTCTACACCAAAAGGGTATGGTACAGACATAACCACTCTTGGAAGGACTTGAAAAAAAACTGTTTTGAAGTTTGGACCTCATCGCTACTGCTTTTCTCCTACCAACAATTTACAGTTTCCTTCACCTCACCTACTTGATACATGTTTCCTGTCTTCTCCAAGCACCACTCTGCATATGTAGACTGCAAACCTCTATCCCTGGAAAAACTTACATGCTTTTACTCCACTCCTCACTGGTTAAGATTGCATACTTCAGGAACAGAAAGAAAACACACTTTGCTAACTTTATGTTATTTTATTTTGTTCCACAGGGACCAGCACTTTGGAAAAAAACATTGCTTGATGCTGTGAATATAATTTTTATTTATTGTTTCAAGAACTGTTATGCTGGAGTGAAAGACTATTTGCTCTATGAACATCCTCGGAAAACCATAATACTGTCCATTTACACTTCATTCCCTTCTCCCTTGCTTCTGTCCACTTACATCTCCATGTTAAATACTGATTTAGTAGATTGCTAGGTATTTCAAGACACTTTCTTAGCAGGACCTGAGGCCCATGCTATTTCTGCTAACCTGCATTACAATTTCCAATATCCACTGAAACCTAAGGCATCTCACTAATCTGGCCAGCAATCTGTCAAGAGGACTTCAAATGGCAGAGCAGAAACCAGAAGCAGTACCAAGCCAAGTCTGTTCTGAGACTAAGAAATGTGAGCAAATCATGATTGCGTTGACTTTTGGTCCCCTAAAAAGTTTTGCACTATCCCCAACAGAAAAAAAATGGGAACGTTTCAGAACTCTAACTGCTATGAAATTCAGCTACTTTTATACATCATTCCACAACTCAATATATATATGAAAAAAAGTAGAATTTCAGAACCTTACCTTGAGATTTCTTTTAGTACAAGGCTTAGCCTTGACACATTATTTTCTACGAAGCCTATCATCTCTAGCTCTCTGAGTGTCAGAAGTTGCTGTCGAGGATATATTATTTGACACTAAAAAGAAGAGTTATACATTGTTGTATGAAAAACAAATACATTCAAAATTAAATTCTACAGTAGGAGTGGAAATACAGAGAAGGAATTAAATTTTTGTATTTTTGTTACTTAGGAAGTATGGTTAAAAAGTCAAATTTATTGAAATAGGACATTTTGCAGTCTTGCTTTCAAATATTACCTTCATCAGTTCTTCCAAGCAAGAAAGATATATTCTAAATATTGCTGCAGCAGATGGAGGTCCAATGTATTGCTTTATGTCAGCCCTGTCTACAAAGGCCATGTCAATTTTCTCCGTAATATTTGAAGTAGTCAGGATAACTACGTTGGGATACCTTCAAGACAAAAGCATATTTTTAGGTCACATGTTTTATCTCCTTTTCTGACTGGCAAATCAAGACCTTCCCTCTTATGACTCATGTAATTTCTTGCAATAAGCAGTCACATCACACTTGTCAACCAGCAATTACATTAAATGATCTGAAGCTCTTGGCCAGTTATCAGCAGCCTATTTCAATGCATAGTCTCTTTCTTTTAGTTGTTTCTCAAGTGTCCACAGTTTCCCTAATCCTATTCTAGAAGTGATATACATTAACTATCTAGAGCCTATTGGCATAGCTTCTACCACAAAAAAAAGATTTTGAAAAGAAGACTCATAAATTTGAAACTTTAATCTACATGTTTTCTGTTTCAATTTAGTTGAAAGTATATAGTTTAACTGGCATTGTGACATATTCTAACTGCAAATGACTTCAGAGTGAGCTTAAAAGAGAACATATCCTTGCTCTAAGCAATGAAAGAACATTCTTAACCACAGCTGTTTTTAGAAAAAACCTGTCAACTTTTATATATGAATAAGACATATTTAATTAGCTGCAAGACAGGGCCAAATACTAGGGCACCATTCTGTGAACAGTGCCAAGGATGCACAATAAGGAAAGGGAAATGGCAGGAATGAAAAACAGCTGGTATGCTGCACTAAATCCAGCATACAAAGTGGAGCGAGCAAGATTAACAATTTCTTCTAAACCACGTTTTGTCCAAGTCTGCTTTAGATTGACATCCAGAAGCGGTATATAATAAACAAATTCTTCATTCATCTTATTCTTGTCTCTCCAAGCACACATCATGATGATCTGTCCTTTTTCCTCTCCCTATCTTTAAGGTAAGTATACAGCCTGGTGATTTGATTGTCCACTCAGGTACATGCAAAATACTCTGCTGGATTACTCCTATGTCTTTTCAAAATTAGCATCATTAACAAACAACAGTTCACTAACCAATTTGTTTTAGCATTCCAAGTAGGAACTGAAATTTAGCAGGAATCCTGAAATTGTCAATTATCTTTTGCTGTTCTAATAATATGAGTTTACCTTTTAATCTGATCTATTTGTGTCAGTACAGCATTTACCACACGAATAGCATCTGAAGGCTCTGTGCCTGCCTTGAAGGCACTGCGGGCTGCTGTGAGGCTTTCCACCTACAAAAAACCCAAACCAATCAACCAAAACAACAACAACAAAAATCACCAAACACCAAAAAAACCAAAAAGATTGCACATTTGGAGTCCTGGCAGCAAACAAATAACCCAGCCAATATACCCTCAGATCCTTGCGTCTGGTATCTAAAACTCCATCTTCAAAATCTTTTGTTAACTAGGAAATTACAGGGAGTAGGAAAGGCATGTCAAGGAAGCAAAGTGTAGTGAGTGAAATGGAACACCACCAGAATAATGAATACATTTAATTTAGAATGAGCTTCCCCATAGATATTTCAATAAAACAAGCTAATAAAGTACATACTTACTGAATTGCTTAGGTATGCAACTCTGCAGAGAATGTAGACAATGAACTGAACCATATTAATGTATTTTAGAGCTTTACAACAGATGAAGAGTACAAATAATACAAATCTAGCCTACTTTTGCTCCACTTTTAAACACACAGCAGCAAGGAAGTCCCACCAAGAAAGGCTTCAATTAATTTTCAGCTGTAATTTGCCTGCTAAATGGCACTATGTTCCTTCCAAATCTCTCAAATCTGCAGCAGTCAAGATTAAAATTCACTCTTCTGCACAAAGCTGTATAGCTTACGAAATACCATAGATGTGCTTTTACTGTTCTTTACAAATGAGGACTATTACAGTTTCTCCCCAGCAAGTTACTTCCTGCTAAATTTTATATACAACAATGCTATTGGAATCATACCTCATCAATCAGTACAAATACAAGAGCATCTTGGTCATCAACTAACTCTTGAATCTTCTGGAACATCTTGGTTACAAGCTTGCCACTCTATAAAGACACCATATGTAGATGTTTATTTCCTTACCACACAACTTCCCAAGGCTTACCATATTTAAAGATGGAAATACCTGTTTTTTAAAATAACTTTCTAATATAACTTCTATTTAAGCATTCTCAAACATGTTAATTATTGTGAGTAATCTTTGGTGCATAAATGAAACAAGCTCAACAGAAACAGTGTAATTTCTAAAACACAGTGTCTACTTAATTAGCTACATCAATACATACCTCAGAAAACCATTTAGAGAAAAGACTGTGGCTGTTTATCTCAATAAACTGTCCATACCTGTACCTAAAGTATAAAGGGAAAAGTAAGTATCAACTCCATTGTAAATAAAAGTCAGTGATATCATTAACTCCTGCAAGTCTCATTCTCTCCCTGGAATTCTGTGAATTAGTACTTTAAACTACCTACTTTTCAAGACATAACACCTGTTTCAATTGTGATTTCCAACAACATGTCTCAGTAGAATTCTTCACATTAAATTCCTATTAGAATGTCTCCATTAGAACAGGTGCTATTTAAATATACTTTAAGTAACAGTTACCATGCTAATTGCCTCATTCTTCTGTTCATGTAAGATTTTCTTCAGTATAGCAAGAACTCATATAAAAGTATGAAACTTATTTACTTAGCAGTGCATGGATCTCCTTATGACAAAATATTTCAACCACACAACATATAGCCCATGTTTTTCACACATTCAGATCGCTCCCATTACTTACGTTACACCTCGTATTTTATATAACATTTATTTTTGTAAATAAATTTGTTAAGTTGCTATAAATTTTAAGGCTAATTCTTATTACTTGTCTGATATACAAACTGACCTCTGTAGATTGTGTTATTCAGACAATCCAAGTACAAAACAAATTGGTTACAAAATTGCTACCTATTAAGAACAGGCTTTCTTGAACAAGAAGATAGAAATATCAAAATAATCTGTGATCCTTTGTCCTTTAATATTCATTGATGTACAATAGGAGCACAAATTACTATATTGTCACTGGAATTTGTTTTACACACCTAGGCACAAATAATGACACATTTTTAAAGGCATTAAATATCATAGACAGTCTATCAGATCAGTTTTATTGCTAGCTGGGTGCAGTATAAAAAAAGGATATCAGCACTTGGCACAAGTTACTTGAAATCAAATATTACATATATTTGGGCTAGTGAAAAAGAGCAACTAGTTTACAAAGTAAACTAAAGTGAAAAATTTCAAAAAAATTATCACCTGTATGACAGTCGAATTGTCAGCTTCTGAGCCAATGCTTTACAGAGAGAAGTTTTCCCAGTTCCAGGAGGGCCTAGTTTGAAATCAGATCCATACATTACACAGAATTTGCATCAGATTGTTAATGACATGTAACAGCTTTTTAACTACTCTATTTCATCATAGCACTAACTGTAGAATAAAAACACAGTAGGCCTGAGTATTCTGAGAAAATCGCTTATTCCACTACAGTCCTAGAGTCAAACAGGCAAGTACAAGCATAGTGATTCATACAAGAGTATGAATCTGTGGGAAATCATGGGTGGGTGCTAAACAAACTGTTAATGTCAACCAAGTGACAGTACTTTCATTCAAAGCCAGTACTGGCATTACAGTATAAATGTATTTCACACTGCAACAGTTGCAGATTTCCTAGAATTAATTTTTTTGTGATCACAGTAATAAGCTCATTATTAAAATTAAATATATCTATCATAAATACATTGCTAACAGTCTGAAATAAATAGTTGTTCAAACAAAAACATCCTGCAGCTGTTATATTGACAGTTATAACTTAAGTACAATCAACAAATACTTCCACCATGATCTTTTATTTTTGAACATTATTCTTTATGACAAAATTAATGCAATTAATCAATAGCAAGCTGCATTTTGCAAGCAAATGGATTCATCTGATGCTAATCTCATTTCTGGTATAACTTCCACAGTAAGCTAGGACTGACTGAAGGTTACAGCTTCACTGAAACAACTAAATTAGTGAGAGTACTGCCTACATACTTGGCAATAGAACACACAGTGTAAAAGTGTAAAAAACACAACACACAGATTTATTTCCCAGTTTCCTCAAAGTTTTTATAAAGCCATAACTAACAAAATATTTAATACTGGGATAAAAGTGAAACTAATATATGCCTCCTAATGTTCTCAGTATCTGCATGATTTTTGCTCTTTAAAAAAGCTGCAATATCACTTAAAAATGAAAATTAAAAAACCCCACAGCTGTCACTGCACTGTAAATTTCAGAATTTAAATTCCTGCAAAACATAGTACACATGAATATTGACATTACACTTAATTTAAACTTGTATAATAAAGAGGATATTTCCCTGCTATTTTTGTATCATCTAATTTCACTACAACAGGCCTGCAATACAATTTTTGCCAGAAGGAAAGTATAAACAGATGGCCAACAAATGTACTCGATTTAAGAGAGATCGTTTTTACCATGCAGCAAAACAACTCTGTTCCATGATATCAGGTTGCTGTCGACATTTTTGTCAGAGAACAATAATGTTGTTGTCACGTAATCAAGTAACTAATTGAAAAGGAGAAAAATAGACACTTAGAGACATAAGAGCAAATACAATTACAGACAGAAGCAATCTCCTAATCATGCCTACTGCATACTCATAACAACAACAACAAAAAAACCACTCATGTCTTTTAGTCATAGGCAAACTTATTTCTCCAAAGTATGGGAATTAATTTCTGTCCTACTCTCAAGAATATGAATAGAATGTACTGGGCACAAATAGAGACTTAGAACTTTTAAATTAATAAATTAAATGCTTTAAGGAAGCGAAATTATTTTCATTTTTCATTGTCCCACTTACAGTGCATCTATAAAACACAAGCTGCCCAAGCACAGAGGGTCAAAGACTCAAACTCTCGGTACTGTTTGTACAGCTATACATTTGTTCAGTTTGTTTTACTAAGCCCACCAAAGCATTTCCTTTCACATTTTACTTCATTTTTACTGAAGCATTTGTATCAGCTACTGCAACAAATTTGTAGATTGTTTACCCTTCCAAATAAGGGAAGTTTCATGTACTTCCCTGAATGCTTGCTTCTAAAAATACTTAAAAAAATTTAGAATTTCTAGAATTAGGAAGTAGAGAACTCTTTCAACAAAATGATTATGAACTTCAGGTGTGAATCTATACTGACTTTTACCTATCATAACACCTGATACCACATTACCTTCTGTCACTCTTACCTGTAACATGCTTTTGATCCACAGGTGTTAACAGGACAATATGACAGTACTCCTGCAAAATCTCATGCTCACAGTGGAGCAGTTACACAACAGCAAAAACGACTGAACTTAATCCACATGTTTTTCAATATTCCATGGACACAGACTGTACTATTTTGAAAATTCACAGCAACCATTTCAGAGCCCGTAGAACCCAACCATGCCCAGGCAGTTCCATGCTTTAAAGAATGAAGATTCAGCACAATTATTTTTACAGAAGTAGTCCTAGTTTCAGTCATTAAAAGCAACCATTTCGTTCTACCAGTATACACTTACAGTCAACAGTGATCAGCTTGCTGTTATTTAGTACATCAGCAAGTCTAATTAGATAGTCTTGTCATTTCATAGATGACTTGGAAATCAGTTTCATAAATTAGACAAACATGGACACGTTAATTCATATTTACCTTATAAATGAAGAAGTACAATCCCTGGAATGTTTTGCTTTTCTGTATTTGTTTATAAAGACTTAAGTGAGAATACTGTACCTATGGTATTACAAACAAGCTAACGAATTAATTACTTGTGTCCAAAAATGTCAGTTAGAAGCTTTTTTTTTTCAAGAAGCACAATAAACATTTTAATGAGTGCTGTCATAAGAACAACTGAGTTTAGTCACTTGTGGTTTATAGTCACATCACAATTACTAGATTCCAGATTGTGGTATTTCTGTTCTACGAGCTCTGGCATTTATTATCACAACCTTTGATGAATGCACAGAATCTTTGAGCCAGAAAATGACCCCATGGAACTGTTCTGCCTCTTTCAAACGTCTCACCAGCATTCAAGTGGGAGCACACTTCAATCATTCAGTGTGCATTTTATGAACAGTGACAGTGCTGGCTGACACTACTGCCAAGCCAATTAATTGTTTAGCTGCTGCCAGAAACACACAGTTAAACTCCCATCCCCTTCTGCCTAGCCTGCACTCACCACATCTCCAAGGGATGCAGTAAACTTCAAACAGGCCTCATTTCAACTCTTACTTCTCCTCAAGTAATCTTAATTGTTATTAATTTTTAACTTACGTTTGCTTTTACTTCACTGTCATATATGAGACTTTCCCAAAGGCCGTGGAATTCAGCTGGAAAAGCAATATATTATATACTTGCTTAGGATAAATTAGTCTGGGAACTTGTAGCCTATCATTGCAGCACAAAGCAGTTTTCAAATTATTCTCAACTAAAAATAGATAAATGAGAGCAATTAAAATATCTGTAAAAAAAATCAGGAGTTATTTTTCTCAAAATGCAAACACTACTTCCTAACAGACAAATTCAGCAGTTTCTCAAATTGCTCAAATCTGTCAAATAATTGTGTTGAGAAATTAATGTTGATTTCTTAACATGAAAGGACAAATATAATTCTTTCCACCCTCAAGAGGCAGTGGACCTACATTTCTCCAAGACAGAGAGCTAGGACAAGTTGGGGTGGGAGGAGGGTTCTAAGGACATTTTTATTATTCAGCTTTGCCTTTTTTTTTTTTTTTTTTTTTTTTTTTTTTTATATTAACATCAAGATGTAGAGGACCAAAAAAAGTATGTGGCTGAATAACGCACAAAAAACTGAAGTTGTCATTTGGGTATCAGTCATTCCCAGCAGTTAGTTTCTTACTTTCAGCAAACAAAAGCAGAAAAGACTGAGCAACTATAAACCACAATAATGTAGGAATAATGTCAATGTCTCAGATTGAATTCTTTCTGAAAATAAATGTAATAGATAGTTAGGCATTTTGAAACACGGAGAAAGTAGGAAACACTTCAGAATAACTGTCTGTTTGGGCTTAAGCTCACACCTGTGCTTCTCCTTCCAGGCACAGAATCCAACTTCTCCAAGCTCAAGATAGTAACAGGCAGGTCGTGCTCTATTGCAGAGCAAAGGCTTATTTTTCTCTTCAGAAAACATTCTGAGGACTCTAGATCTCTTTGTTTGTCTGTTTCAGATATAAAAACGACACTGCCTTGGGAGCTGGAAGCCAGCAGTGAGCTCTGGAAAATGAGTATTTAAAGTGATGAATTTCCTGTGGGTCTCCAAGTCAAAATTTGGAATGCAGCTTGTAGGATTAAAAACTTCAATGCTTCTGATTATGCCTATACATTTTAGACCACAAGACCAGTTATTTCCACACATCCATGAGTATTATAGAAATAAATGATGTGTTTTGGAACCACTGTAGCAGTTCAGTCAAAACCATAAAGAAAAATGTCCAAATATATTGGTTCCACAGACAAAGGACAAAGTTAAACAATATATACAAATAATACCTTTAACAGATAACCCTATAAACCCTTCTAGCCTTTCCAAGGTTTTCTTTCATTGTAATTGCTCTAGACCTTCCAGAAATATCACAAGGGTACCTGCTGGCAGAACCCAGTGGTGAGCTGCAGTGATATCCTCATTTTCTTCTTCCAGGTTCTCAGAGGTTGGTCCTTCTTCATTCAGATGAAAAATATGCAGAGAAATACTGCTTTTGCTCAAGTCAATAGGCTAGAATGAACATGAAAAGACTTCTAATGCATCATATTTCTCATTCAAAGCTAATTATAACAAAAGACAGCTACAGTTTTCAGCTGGCATTCATCTCTGAAGCCTACTATTTCTGTTTCAGACCTTACTAAGCAGTGTAGGTCCAAAAAATTAGCCATGTTTTCCTGGTTATATTAGTCAGCCTAATAAGAGATACTACGTCATCCTATAGACCTTGTCTTGCTTATGTCCTTAGGCCACCACCAGTCTACCTACAACTAGTTCACGGGCATATGAACAGAGCTGTACATTCTTGACTGCAAATACCTGTCTGTCTTTCAGCTTCAGCTCCGTATCCACAATCGACACAGACTGCACATTGTTCTTAAGGAAACTGTCATCAAACTCTGTCCACTTGTAATCACCAAACACGATGGTATGTCTGTTCAACAGCTTTAGGACACTCATCCTAATATCTTCTTTCTTGGCCACACTAACGAGAAAGGAACACCATTACTACATGGCATTGACATTTATAAGGAAATATGAATTAGTGTCAGAGTGCATTATTTCATACACTAAGTCTTCATGGAAAACAGATTCCATCTCACACACACAAAACTAACAAAACAACCAAAAAAACCCCAATACAAAAAAACCCACTTAACTCCCCCCCAACATTCTGCAGGAAAAAAGAAAAAACCCTATCAAATTCAGTCTGTTTGCAAAAGCAACAAACTTGATACTTGTTTTTAATTTGTGCACTAAAAGACACAATCCAAGGAATACTATTTGCTCTGTTTGAGATCATATCAGGGGACACAGAATGACACAGCTAGAAGACTTCAAGAATGGAAATCAGTTATGCAATCTGATTGTGTTTCAGCAGAAAAAACAGAAAAACTCATAGCCAAGCTACTAGACTGAATGTGGTAAGATTAGCTTGGAAGCTCCATTATACTTTCAAGTCTGAGGGCAGCTGGTACCTCGGGATGGGGACATACTATAAGCAGAATTCCAGTAGAAGAGAAAAAAGCTACAGGAAAAGGAATGCCATTTGAAGGTTTCAGAAAGGCTTTAACTTAGTCTTGCAATTTCAGTGATGTATAACCAGTGCAAATTCCAACTTCCTTGTTTTTTAAGCCTGACAAAAAGAGAGCTGTGGATATTTTACAACTTGATTTTTGCAACAACTTGGACATGCTCTCCTATTGTATCCAGATAGCCAGACTGTTAAGATAAGGACTGGATAAATGGACAGTGAGGTGGTTGGACTGTTCAGCTCAGAGGGTTGCAATTATTAGTACAAAGACTAAGCAGAGCTGCCAATAACTCAGGCTGGAAGAGGTGTGGGGGGTACTGTTAACACTGTTTTTACACCCTCATTTACACCTTTGATGATGGAATGGAAAGCAATTGCAGCAAGTTTATGGATAACACCAAAGCAGGGAGACTGTCAGTACTCTAGAGAGCAGGGCTGCCATTCAGAGGGACCTCTGCAGGTTGGAGATATAGTTTGACAGGAACTTCTTGAGGTTCAACAAAAGTAAACATGAAATCCCATCTCTCCATTCACTGCTCAGATAACAGAACAGAGCAGAGGTCAACCTGATGAAGAGTAGTTTTGTAGAAAAGGGCCTGGGGTACTGCTGGACAAAATGGCAGTGAGCCAGCAGTGTGCCCCTGCTACAAATAAGGTCAACCTTATTTTAGGCTGTGCTATCAAGAGTGTCAACATTAGGGAAAGCGATTCTTTCCATCCACTGCCTTTGTGGGACCACATCCGGAGTACTGCATGCAGTTTCAAGCTCTGCCATAAGAGAGACGAGGATAAACCAGAGCAAGTCCCGAATGTGGCCACCAACTTGATTATCAGATGAAATTGAGAGAAATGGAATTGTTCAATCTTAGGAAGAGACACTGGCATGGAAACTCATGGGAGAGCACAGAGATGGCAAAGCAGAGTCCCGTGGGCTCCTGAGGGTGCACAGCAAGAGACCAAAAGGAAACAGACACAAGTTACAGAAAGTTACATGGTGATCAGAGAGACCTGCTCGATTTCTGATGAACTTCCACATGGATCTGAACGTTGTCACACACGTTTGGGAGCGCTTGCTTCAGCTCCCCTGCGGCATCATCCATCCTTCTCGCTCCTAGGGGAAAAGCGATACCAAGGAGAAGCAATTCCCAGGGTCTGCTATACGCCCAGGGCACAGCCAGTCCTTTCCCGGTGCCCCGTCCGCATGCACCTCGCCCACAGCAAGGAACGGGATCGGCACTTCCCTCCCTCAGGAGATGGCGACGTCAGCCTCGGGATACGCCACGAGCGCGGCCGGGCCGCTCCTGCCCTCAACGCTGGACACCGGGAATCACCTCACGGCAGGCACGGTCTCGGGAGAGACGCGCTAGCGCAGCGGGAAGGAGCCCGGGAGCGCGGGACGAACCCGAGGCAGCTCACTGCGGCCGCCGCCCGTTCGTAAAGGGCGCGCTGGGCAGGGCAGGGCGGGCCGGCTCCTCACCCGGATCTTCCTCCGCCCGAGGTGGGAGGGTCCGCCCGTCCCGGCGCTTCCGGCGGGGCTGGTTCGGGCTCCGGCGCTGGCTCTGCCATGGGGAAGAAGCACAAGAAGCACAAAGCGGAGAAGGCAGAATGGCGCTCGACCTCCGCCACCGCCTACAGCGGTAAGCGCCGGGGGAGACCCTCTTTGTTCCCGGGACGCGCCCGCCCCTCCCTCCGCCCCGGCTGTCGGCGGGACCCGGCATCGCTGCAGGGCTGGGGGGCTCACAGGGACAGGCCCTGGTTTAAGTGCCGGGGCTGCCGGCGACGGGGGCGGCCTGGGGAACGCGGGACGAGGGGTGGGTTGTGAGCCCGGGCGTCTCCGTGGTTCCTGCGGCTGTTCCTGGTGGGATCCGGTCTCTGCGGTGCTCGAGTGATGCTTAATTTCACCTTGCTCTGACAAGGACCTTGCAACGTTTTCAGGGAAAGCCGAGGAGTCGGTTTCTTCCGTGTTACGGGTTTGTGGAAAATCACAACGTAACGTGTGCTGAACGACTGTCTATTAGTTTGGATTTATGAGTCTTAGGTATTGTTTTTTTTCCAATTGTATTGTGTATATTTTTGACGTGCAGCAAATTCTTACAAACAGTATTTCTAGAAGCAGCTTTGGAGCTGAGGGTCTTTAGCCTGAAGAACAGGAGGCTCCAGCATGACCCTATCACTCTGTGCAAACACCTGAAAAGACGTTGTAGCCAGGTGGGAGTTGGGCTCTTCTCCCAGGGAACTAGTGACAGGATGAGAGGACAAAGCCTCAAGCTGCAGCGGGGGAGGTTCAGGTTGGACATTAGGAAGAATTTCTTTGGAGGAAAAGTGGTTGTATATTGGAATGGGCTGCCCAGGGATGTGGTGGAGCCACTATCCCTAGAGGTGTTTAAGGAAAAACTGGATGTGGCACTCAGTGCCATGATCTAGTTGACATTGTAGTGTTCAGTGATAGATTGGACTCAATGACTTCAGAGGTATTTTCCAACCTAATTGGTTCTGTGATTCTGTAATTGCTGTGTGCTGTCATCTCTCTGTGCGTTTATGAAATGTTGGGGTTTTTTTTGTTTTTTTTTTTTTTTTTAATTTAGATTATATGGATAAACCTTTGGAAAAACCCTTAAAGCTGGTGCTTAAAGTTGGAGGAAGCGAAGTGACCGAACTCTCTGGGTCAGGGCATGATTCCAGTTACTATGATGACAGATCAGATCATGAGCGAGAACGACATAAAGAAAAGAAGAAAAAAAAGAAAAAAAAGTCTGAGAAGGAGAAAGAAAAGCATCTAGATGATGAAGAAAGAAGAAAAAGAAAGGTAAGCTGAGAGTTACAATTCAGGCACAGCCGCCACCATGCTTGCTTATCAGATCTAATATCTGGTGCAGAGTACCAGAGCTTTTTTTTGTTTGTTTGTTTAAATCACTATTCCAAGAAGCCTACTGTCTGAACTCAGCACCTCATAAATTTAGAAAACCTTTGTGTGTGTATTGGTGTATTTCTGCCATTTAAAGGAGATATATACTTGTGATGATTCTATGAACAAAGTAAAAACTTCCTTCTTGTAACTGCTCATTTTTCTTATTTATTTGCTTTGAATGAATACTTCCATTTTTAAGTTGGATGTTTTGTATATCAGCCAGGTCACAATCATGTTTTGCTACCCTTTCAGGGAGGGTATTTTCAGCTTTTCAAATAAATCTTGGTTGCATTTCTCTTCCTGAGATATACCAAGTTACTGGACATTGAAATTGATATGTTTACTCAAAACAGCTTTCTGAGATCTGATCTGTTGAGTACTGTGGTACAATAGTTAGATTGGCTCTTAGAATAACCTTCATGCAAGGCCTTGTGACTTTGCTAGTAGCAAATGGTGTGGTCGCCTTAGTTGTCTGTGCTGAACCTTAAGGAGTTTGATTAAAATCAGCAAGAAGGCATTGACAGTACAGTTACTTGTACAATTTAATTTTAATAGTATTTCTTTTGTGTACTAATGATTCTTTGACCTCTCTGCTTTTTTAGTTCTTTTTTTGTTATGTAGTTTTGCTCATATCATGATTTTTTTGGTGCTACTGTGTATGGGTTTGTGGCTAACATCTGTCATTTCCAATTGATTTGTTAGACTCAATTGCTTGAAAGTGACATACCTCATAGGATCGGTAGAAGCTCTTGAATACAGCATAGACAGTGCAAAATTTTCTTAGTACAAATGTTTCAGTTAAGAGTATGGCTTGGATTTGAAATATAGCAAAACAACTGTCCTTCATACAAGATATTGCATCATCAATTGCCTTTACTAAGTTACAGTGTGGGGATTGTTTGGATTTTTTCCCAGAATAAGCTAACAGATAGTTAAGAAGCAAAACAGCAGACTAAACAAGGCTAATGAAAATATGCTTTTCTTTGAAAACATGGATAATGACTGCAAGATTATAGGAATGATTTAGGCTTGCCTTTGCTGTGAAGCTCAGGAAGAGATCATTAATTGCCACCACTGTTACAGAGCAGTCCTTGTGGTTCTTCTGTGGGCTTTGTGAATTATCATATACTTTACTCATTCCTGTTCAATGCACCAAACAAAAGTACACTGATCAAAGCAGAGCTCCAGACTAATCTTTACTGAATAGTAAATTAACTTCCTTTGCTCTCTAGTGTAGCTTGTTATCATGCAATTTTACGTATAAATAGCTTCAGAGTTCAACATTCTTTTCCATGAAAGTACAGTAATGATAGTACAATACTATGTTAAATACAAAGTAGCTAAAGATGAACAGTTTAGTTTTAATTGGAGAAGAAAACTGAAAAAGTGATAGTGAAAATATATGCAGTGTTGTTTAAACCGTATTATGACTAAGATATAGAATGATTATTCCAAATGAAAGAATTTGCTGTCTCTTTTCTTTTGGTGTGTGGGATTGCACATTCCAAGTATGTTCTTCTAAAAGATGTCTTCTTCCTGCTGTGCTAGGAAGAGAAAAAGAGGAAAAGGGAGAAAGAACAGTGTGACACTGAAGGAGAAACTGATGATTTTGATCCTGGGAAAAAAGTAGAGGTTGAACCTCCTCCAGATCGTCCTGTCAGAGCATGCAGAACTCAGCCAGGTGAGCAGCGTGAGGAATTAAATCATTTTGGTTGTTTTTAAAAGCATGCACAACGAAGTTTTGTCAAAGGTACCAAAATGTAAAATTTTTGTGAAGATTTGCTGAAATCTAGAGACTTCACTTTTTTCAGCATTTAGAACTTTGCATTGTCTGAAAAGTCAATATTCCTCATGGTGGTTACAGGTTTTAGTAGGTTTGTTTTCAGTTGACTGAAGTTGCCAAGGAGATCTGTCTCTGGCTTCTATTACTTCTATTCTATTATTCTATTACTTCTCTGGCATAAAAGTGTTATTGTGCACAGTGTTCCCCTAATGCCTTATCCTCAGCATTTACTGAACAGTGATCAGAATGTCTGAATTTTCAGTTTTCCTTAGTTCAAGGCAAAAAAAAAAAAATCTTGTGAAGACTGCTTAGTTGTTGTTACAGTCTTTTTTTTAATAACATATGTTGAGTTTTAGTATCGGATATTTTCATTAACAGGAAGTTGTGATAGGGTGTCTCTAAAGACCATGGACACCACCCCCCACCACCCTATTTTTCATTTACCAATCTTTAATTTTTGTCACCAACCAAAATATTTATGAACTGTGTGGCAACTTCTGTATGTTTATTTATTTCAGATTTTGTCATGCTTTTTCTACCTGTAGCCATTGCTTGATAGTTAAAACTCAACATTATCCAGTGGAAACTTTTACTTAAGAGAATTTTCAAATACATCATGATCTCAGTTACACATATGCTTGAAAGTGGAACCTGGTAGCAAAAAGCTGTGTCTTTAGGAATATTGTGTGTCTTGTCTTTGGAATACTGTCCTTTGACTGGTCAAGTAATTCATTGAGGAGTTTTCTAATTATGACTGGGCATTAAATTAAGGAATGTTGGCCATCAGCTGTCAAGGTAGCTGAAATTTTCTGGTCAGAGTTTTATGTCTCGGGGTAGTCAGGAACCTTGGAAAACTGACAGACTAAAAACTAGTATCTTTATTATTGTATTTTCATCTGCTTGTAAAATGATATTTCAAAGCATATAAATTACCTTACCTATTCCAGTTAAGAAGGGAAATGTCGCTCCAATATCATGGTGAAGAGTTGGAGTTTTAATTCTAGATTTCAGCATGCTGCTTGTTTAGTGTTTCAAACTTCACATTAAAGGCAACCTCTCTGAGCTATGGAACAAGTAATTAATGAGTAGTATTAATCGTGTAATTTGTACCTGTACAGGAAGTGAAATTGTAATCAGTACCTCACGTGCCAGCAAATCTGCATCTGTTTGTCACTCAGTGACTGAAAGGTTCAGAGAAGCTAATTGCATGGGGTTAATGGTAAAGAAACCATTAAAATTGCACTGATAACATGTTGTAAGAATGTGGATTTCCCAATTGCATGATTTCAGCAACCAAGTTTCACTTTTCTTTTCCTGTAAAAATATATAACATCTTATTTTAATCTTATTAATATATATTCTTAGAGCTACTAGACTTAGCATTACATCTGACTTAATGTCTATTAGTTTTTAATGTGATGAAAGCTCAGAAAACAGTAAAGGAGAAGAAATAGGTACTGTATGCTTCTGCTTTGAAACGTATGTCACGCTGAGCTTCAGATATGCAAGCCGTACTTGTAGTTAAGATGTTCTCTCCAGTATTTATGTTTTTAAATAAATAAATATACCTGTATTCTGTTTCCTTGCACTTATCTGTGTTTTCATCTCAAAATGCAGCTGAAAACGAGAGCACACCGATCCAGCAATTACTAGAACACTTCCTTCGGCAGCTTCAAAGGTATAAACTGTATTGTACGTTCAGCTGTGTCGACAGTGTCTAATGCATATTTATATGTGTTACTTTACAACTTCTTCTCCTGGTTTTATGTTTGAAA